CCGCATTTGCGGTCGGGGTAGACGACGGATGGGGCCCACCTACGAAGGCTGTCCAGGCCTACACGAGATGAGGCAGGATAAAGAGGGATAATCCCCCTCGATCCCAAATCATTGAGGCCAATTTCTAGCCATGGAATATTGGCGCGTGTCTCCAGAGGGAGCCATCTGACAGTGCTGCCAACTGTGGGTTACATTGCAACATAATTTTTAAATTTCTAATTGGCCCCAATATGCCGGCCGCCTTGAAACGTGTTCAAACACTTTCAAATGAAAAGAACAATATAAATAAACATGCTAGATAACTGTCGGTATTCAAATCGGACTAGGTCAATGTGTATGGCCTTAGTGGCTAAGCAAATATATAGGCAAACATAAGCCTTACTTAATTTGGAACCTCGTCCCCTTCTGTCTTTTACCAGAAATGAGCCCGCGTAATCGACTCCACAGTTCAAAAATGGTACGGTCTGTTTAAGCCGCGAAGCAGGTAGATCGCCCATTAAATATTGAATACTACTTGGCTTTGTTCTGAAACAAACCACGCACTTGCGCACTATGTCCTTCGCTAAGTTTCAGCCTGATATAGGCCAATATTTTTCTCTAAAAGACTAGAGAAGCATCGATGGACCGCAATGAAATAATTGGTTATGCTCGTGTCTCATTAACAATTTGGTCAAGTTATGACGTTGTGGCAAAATTATCGGGAATTTTTTGTCAAAATTGAAATCTGAATTACGAATTCGTCCTCCTACTCGTATGATATCTTTATGTAAATATGGATTTAAACTTAAAATTTTACTATGTTTGTCGATAGGTTTTGAATTCTTGCATTTGACAAATTTTAATTAGAATATTTGTTGCATTTTGTAACTCAGAAATACTTAGATTGTCCAAGCTTCTTTCATTTGATTTACGTTTTAAATTATTGCTGAATCTGCAGTAATACGCTGTGACTCTTTGCAATTTTACCCACGAAGAAAATTTGTCAAAAATATTGAAATTGTCAATGTTAGTGATAGTATTTACGCTTGTACGTTGTTCTGGTAAGTTACTTGATTCTAAAATTATAATATCTGAATTAAAGTTTACATCATCTTGTAAAATAAATTTTGGACCTTTCCACCACAGCTCGGAATTTAATAACGTGTCTGAATCTACACCTCGCGATATTAGATCCGCTGGGTTTTCATTTGACCTGACGTGATACCAATCGTCGAATTTTGTTGACTGCTGAATCTCGCTCGTACGGTTGGCTACGAATGTCTTCCACTTGTTAGGTTGACTCTTGATCCAACATAGTGCAATTGTAGAATCGCTATAGTAATAGAATTTATCAAATTTTATATTTAAAGATGACTTGACGCTCTCAACTAATTGAACTAATAGTACTGCACTGCATAGCTCAAGCCGAGGCAGAGAAACTTGTTTTATTGGAGCCACTCGTGACTTTGCACACAACAAATTCGATGAATAATTACCTAATTTGTTTTTGCATTTAATGTAGACGCATGCGCCATATGCTCGCTCTGATGCGTCACAGAACGCGTGCATTTCTATTTTTTCATAATCGTTTACTAAAATAAATCTTGGTATTTTAATGAGTTTAAATTTGGTAAGTCATTTAGAAATTGACGCCATTGTAAGTGTAAAGCTTGGGGTATTGTTTCATCCCAACTTACTTTAGCTAACCATAATTGCTGCATAAGTATCTTGGCTATAATTATTATGGGTCCTAATAATCCAAGAGGATCGTATATTTGAGAGGTTATTGATAGAATGCTACGCTTGGTTATGTTACTTTGATTACACTGCGTAATTGAATACTGTATAGTATCTAACTTAGCATTCCAATAGATGCCTAAAGTTTTATTTTGTTGATTTTCACCTAATTCAACTATATTGACCGCTAAATCTCGATTTATTTGGAACTGATCGACTAACTCGGGCTTATTGCATAACCACTTTCGTAGTTCGAATCCTGCTGACTTTAATATTGTAGATATTTCACCTTGTAATTTTACTAGATCTGATTTTGAACTTGTACCCGTTAGCAAATCGTCGACGTAAAAGTCGTATTTTATTGTTTCACTTGCTCGAGGAAATATAGTTTTGTACTCGTCCGCAATTTGATTCAAGCATCTCACCGCTAAAAATGGCGCTGAAGCTGTTCCGTATGTCACGGTATTTAATTCATAGCACTGAATCTCCTTGTTGGAGTCAGCTCTCCACAATATTCGCTGTAAGTTTCGCTGATCGGGATTAATTAATACCTGCCGGTACATCTTAGAAATATCTGCTGTCATAACATATTCATGCATCCGAAATCGTAAAATTATTGATAACAAATTAGATTGTATAGTAGGACCGCTGTATTGAATATCATTAAGAGAAACGCCGCTGTCAGTTTTCATAGATGCATCGAAAACAACTCTAATCTTAGTAGTACTGCTTTGTTCTCTGATAATTGCATGGTGTGGTAAATAATAGTTTGTTTTATTGTCGTGAGTTTCACTTACATGTGACATATGACCGAGACTTTCGTATTCTTGCATAAATTTGACGTATTCTTCGCGTAATTTATCGTTTTTAATTAATCGTTTTTCGATGGACAGAAATCGATCTAATGCCGCTTGCCTAGATTCGCCTAAATTTTGTCGATTTGGTTTTAATGGAATGCGTACTATGAAACGCCCTTCGCGATCTCTCTCCGTATTGTTTAAGAAATGAGATTCACAATATTTATCATCGTCCGATAAAATAGTTTTATTGTCACATTGTTCCAATTGCCAAAATTTAGTTAATTGTTCATCTAATTGCAAATTGTTTAATTTAATGTTAAGACAACTAATAGACCTATTTACTTGTAATTGATTATATTTTAAATCACCGCCAATTACCCAACCGAATAGTGTTTTATGTAACATAGGCATATTTGGGCTTAACTGAACCTGGCCCACGCATAGAACATTCCAAAATACGTTGGAACCTAGTAACATGTCAATAGAACCGGTAGAATTAAATGTGGGACCTGCTAGTTTTAAATGATCTGGTATTTGTAATTGTTTACTAGAAAATGAAACTAATGGCAAGTCGTCAGTGATTTTAGATAAGATCAACGCTGTAATGGTTTTATTGTATGAATTATTGCGAGATGATATTTTAATTGTCGCTTGCTCCTTTACATCAGACATGGCTTTACCTACGCCCGAAATAGTGAAATTTATTGGTTTGGTTTGTAAACCTAAGCGTTTGCAAAATGCGCTTGTAACAAAATTGCTTTGTGAGCCACTATCGAGTAGCGCTCTACATGTATAAATTTGTCCGCGTTTGTCCTCAACACTTATTAACGCCGTTGAAAGTAGTACTTGTGAATGCCTAGTATTATCACTGGAATGACCTACAATCGCTACTTCTTGCGTATTTTCTTCCTTTTTCTGCTCTGTTTGTGTGTCTGACGCTGACTGATTTGTTGCAATATTGCCCTTTTCTAAATGAAGCAGTGTATTATGCCGCTTTCCGCATTTGCGACAATTGCTATTTAAAATACATGTTTGTGCTGTGTGTGAGGGTTTAAGGCAATTAATGCACAATTGTAATCGTTTTATTTCTTGTATTCTAGAATGTATTGGTAATTTTAAAAAAGCTTGACAAGTGAATATAGTGTGCGCCTTTTCGCAAAAATAGCAATTGAAATTTGTACTAGCATACGAATTTGAGTAGCCCTTGGCCTTGATTTGACCTTTGTTTAACTTATGATTGTCGTATCTAGCTTCTGAGCGTGTTTCTAATTTTTCTAAAATTTCGTATCTTTTCTTTAAAAACTTTGTAATATCGTTAACTGTAGTTAAATCGCCTTCCAAATTCCAAGATTCCCATTCTCGCATAGTGGTGTTGTCGAATTTATATGTGTTTTTAAAGCGCGTAAATTCTGAATAATTATGTCGTATAAATTCCTTAAATCTGCGCGATTTTCTCGTTTCAATGGAGGAAAGTCAAACATCGCCCTTACGTGATTATGAACAACGAGCCGCTTGTTTTCGTAACGTTCATGTAATAGATCCCATGCAATGGCATAGTTCGCTTCAGAAATCTTTATAGAATGAACAACCTGTTCTGCTTCACCTCTTAAACTTGAATGCAAATAATAGAACTTCTGAACTGTAGCTATCGATTGATTATTGTGGATTAATGAGCTAAATGCATCTCTAAACTCGAACCATTGATTAGAATTGCCATCAAATGTCGGCAAGTTTATTATTGGTAACTTTAATTGCTGATTTTGAAGATTATTACCGACAGAAGTAACATTATTTACTTGAATAGCCGTCTCATTATTGCCGCGAAATAGTGATATTATTTCATCGCTTTTTGAATTTAACTCGTAGTAAATTGTTTCAAAATTGTTTCTTTCTTGAGGCTCCTCGCTTTCGAGAGCAAATTCTATCTCGTCTTGAACCTTATTAAACTCGTCTAAAACATTTTTAAAGTTCGTTGCACGTAGTTTTAATTGCGAAATTGTATTATTGTCTAAGTCTTGTGTATCTAAACTTGCTAAATAATTTTGAAATCTTGTAACTTTGGATTTTATTAATCCCCTAGTAAATTTTAATTTCGAAATATCTGCCATGTTTTATTGTAACAGATATTTTGCTCGTATTGACCCAGATAAAAAAAGGATAAGAATGTGGAATGTAAATAAACTGGAACAGACTTACAAGGGCAGGTGGTTGGATTCGCTGGCTATCGTTGCGCCGTGCTTCGCTCTCGATCCTTGTAGGTGGCCGCTACTTTGCTACGTCACGATGCTGAACGCCTACTAAGCCAATCGCCGAGCGGCTTGCTTACTTCCCTGGATTCTATTGGAATGTTGAACACTTGTACGAATTTGAATTGATTGCACTTGCAATTGTTTATTGTAACTTGATTGTTTATTTCATTGGTAACTTGAATCACTTGATTGAATTGTTTTACTACTTGCAAACTTGTAAACCCTGGAATCGTAGGTTACTGGTATGTTAGGCAAATCCGTCTCGATGGAACCATAAATGTTGACGCACTAGTTGCTGAACTCAATGTTATAGGGTTATGTATAAGTGGACTGTATTTATCGTACTTTTGGGATAGCCTAGTGATTGAAATGATAGAACTTGTAATTGGTAAACTTGTATTGGAGATGAGAAAACATACAACATCCTTCTTCGAAGGTTTAATATGTACTGCCCAACATGAGCGCTTTTACTTTGGAAAATTGTAACTATGAATATTTTTTAAATGTGTATAATAAAATATCTTTCATTCTAAATTCTAGTTTATTATTACATTCCCCCTTTAATACCTCCAATTTGTACAGAAATTATATATAAACAAAGAGTGCTTATGCTCTTATTCGTTAATAATAATTAATTAAAATTAGTCGTACAAATATGTATTGTTAAAAGAGAAATCCAATTTAATTCGCGCAATACTTGAAGTTTTGTGAACGAAGCATTAGCCCGCACCAGCTCTATCTCTCTCGCACACGTCTATGCCATTGCTATTTATATTGGCAAAATGACAGTTGGGCGAATCCAGTAGTTTATAAGTTCTATGGTCCAGTCTGATTTCCTAACCTAAATTACATGGAGACTACAAATTACTTACGGAATACGTCAAATATCAATTAGTATTTTCCTTCCATCGATCTATGGTTCGTTGTGATATTCTAACCTCAATTGGAAACGTCAAATATAGCGAAATTTATTTTGACGTTTCAATCTGACATTCTTCGTGATTTTTAGATTTTCGTCGATTTGCGTTCGCGGTTCTTTGAATCTCCATTTCGCTTATAAAATGGCCGTATGTCAGTGAGAAGTCCATGGAGAAAGATATATTTGAAAACGCGAATATAAAGTTGCAAAATTTTGATTAAGCGACGAACGAAGGGAGATGAGGCGCGATTATGCCGCTTCGGATCTCGCGGAGAAACCCAGTCCGTCCGCCAAAATGCTAGTTTTCCAGTCTGACTTGAGACACAGCGCGTAGTGTCGTCGTTCATTGTTTAAGCTGCCGCACTTCGAATTTGCGTTAATTTCGCGAAACGTTCTATGTAAAAAGTTTGAAATAGGCCTTTGATCAGTAAACAAAAAATTTTTGGTTTAAATAAATACATCAAACGTCATCTAGTAAGTCCCGTCTAATTTTCTAACATCAATTGAAAGTGTCATTTTCGCCTAGTAGGTCCATCTGATTTTTTCACCTCGATGTCATCTATGAAATACGCCAAATGTTAATTAGTAGGTCCCCACTGATTTTTTAACCTCAATTAGAAACGTCAAATATCGTCTTGTCACTCCTGTGTGATATCTTAACCTAAAATACGAAACACGTCAAATATCAATTAGTACGTTTCTTCTGATTTTCTAACCTCAATTAGAAACGTCAAAAATTGCGTAGTAGGTACCGTCTGATTTCCTAACCTAAATTACGAAATACGTCAAATATTAATCAGTCTGTTCGATCTATGGTTCGCTGTGATTTTCTAACCTCAATTGGAAACGTCGAATATAGTGAAATTTATTTTGACGTTTCAATCTGACATTAATTAAAATTAGTCACACAAACATGTATTGTTAAAAGAAGAGAAATCCAATTTTATTCGTGCGATACTTGAAGTTTTGTGAACGTAGAATTAGCCCGCACCAGCTCTATCTCTCTCGCACATGTCTGTGCCATTGCCGTTTATATTGGCAAAATGACAGATGGGCGAATCCAGTAGTTTATAAGTTCTATGGTCCCGTCTGGTTTCCTAACCTAAATTACATGGAGACTACAAATTACTTACGGAATACGTCAAATATCAATTAGTATTTTCCTTCCATCGATCTATGGTTCGTTGTGATTTTCTAACCTCAATTAGAAACGTCAAATATAGTGAAATTTATTTAGACATTTCAATCTGACATTCTTCGTCATTTTCAGATTTTCGTCGATTTGCGTTCAAGGCTGGTTGAATCTCTATTTCGCTTATAAAATGGCCGTATGTCAGTGAGAAGTCCACGGAGAAAGGTACATTTGAAAACGCGAATATAAAGTTACAAAAATTTCATTTAGCGACGAACGAAGGGAGATGAGGCGCGGTTATGCCGCTTCGGATCTCGCGGAGAAACCCAGTCTATCCACCAAAATGGTAGTTTTCCATTCAGGCTTGAGCGCGTAGTGTCGTCGTTCACAGCTGAAGTAATCAACAATTTTTGTAATGTTAAATTTGCATTTTTCTAACACAACGTCGTCTCGCAAAAGATCCATAATAAGATAAAACAGATAAATAACGACATTCCATGACTTGGAAGAGTTTTTAACCCCAACTTATTTCTATTGATTCTTAACTTTTGACGTTTGGGGAGTACCTAATACGAATGCAATATTATATATATATACACATTGTGGTGTAGGTAGTAATTTCAGTTAACTATACACAAATTTCCTCCATTCCTGCCTGTTTCTTGCCAATTCCTTTGCTTCTGTCCATTTCTTTCCTCTTTTCTTTAATATTTCTCCAATTACTTGATCCCATGTTGTTCTCGCTCGCCCTCTTCCTCTTTTCTGATGTGTCTTTGTTTGCCATATTTTTTTTTTGCAATATTAACAAAGCAAATTGTACAAATACAAAGGTTGAAGGGTTTAGGTACATGGATTGGTTTAAAATTATGCAGTTTTAGAGGGGAAGTACTTACGTTAATTCGGGGAACAGATATCGTAATCGTAGACATGTCAAGAGGTAGAGCTACCAAAATATTAATAATAACCTAACCTAATAATAAGAAATACCTGTATATGTCGTGGCGTAGCAATGTATTAAGATTAAAAAAAGGTCTAGTAAAGTAAAATAACGGTTCGCCGCGACCCTACAGACGTCTTTCGCGTTTAGCGTGAAATTATTTTGACGTATATCAAACTGACGTTTCTAACGACATTCGAAATTTTCTCCGGTTGGGCGTGTCTTAAAGCTTCAATCTTTACGGCTTGTCTGTCGTTGAGTGGACTCCAAAATGAGGCAAAATCAAATATGAAAAAGCGAAAAGAACGTTACAAAAATGCCCCCGAACGATTAAAGATGATCTAATGGACATCTCGTGCCCAGTCGCACGCCATTCCGCGGTTTGCGGAAAAAGAATTATGTGTGGCAAAGTATACGTTTTCCAGTCGGCGAGAGAGTGCATTTTAACGTATTTACGGCCGCATTTCGAATCCTGCGCGGGATTTCGCGGAAAGTTCTACATAAAAGGTTTGAAAAAGGCATCCGGTCGATAAATATGAGTATTTTCCGCGCGGCTTTAAATAAAAAACGTAGGTAAAATAGGTAAAATAAAAACTAAATAGAGGAAACCGGCGAGGCGATCGTCTGGTTTCATCGGTAAATAGGCGTGTCGGACTCATGCGTTTGACACAAAAATTGGGCCACGCCCGTCGTAGGGCTCCGGGAGAACCGGATTTTAGGTAGGAAGGAGCGGAAGAACCTCCACCGGAATACCCCTAAGCGACGTGGCGAACATGGCGGGGCCCTACGCGGCTTCCTGGAGGAGCAGACCCCAACGCAAATCGGCGCTTTTTCGGGGCGATCGTGCGACGCAGACGGAGCTATCAGATTTTAATATATATATTGATTTTAAACAGATAGTAATTTTTGGGGTACTGTATTTCCATCTAGTGGCGATTAATAGATAACCTTTCTCTGGCATCTGTGAATATTAGTTATGTTATTTATTTTGATTGTGATTTGCATAGATTTAATCATAGATCTAATATAAGGCAAGTTCGGTATTAACGTCTAGATGCTCCAGATATGTTTTGTTATTTTCTAATTGTAAGATATGAAAAGAGATATATCTAGAATTCTAGACCATCTAGATGTCAATATCGAACTTGACTATAATATGGTATGGATGGAATGCAAAGACGGCAGGGGACAACATGTAAAGTCAGATGGAACTAGTCTAGAGTCACATGACTTAGGGCATTTTCAGACTTATCACGCGCGGTCTATCTAGTACATAGTTTTGTTTTATTTACATAGATTTGACAATTTTATATGTTATGTAAGTAGTGTAAGTTGGGGAGTTTGAATCCACCCCCCCACCCTTTTTACCCCCCACCACTTTTTTTTGTTGGCCCCGCCCCCTCCACCCAATCAGAGAGCGGGGAGTTCCCCCTCCACCCAATCAGAGAGCCGGGAATTCTAATCCG